CTCACGTAAACATCTATATGCTGCTTTCAAATGGATTTTATTAAATTTATCGACTTAACAACTGCGCCTTTCTATATGCCAACAACTTAGGTCATATATACAAATACATCAACCAACTTTGCAATAACTTTCCACAACTTTGCAATAACTTTGCACATCTTTACACGATGCATTTACAGCGTAAAACTCACTGCGTGCTGACAATGTGAACAACTTGTTCGTGAAAATTAGAAGTAATTTGAAAAGTTTCCATTAATTAAAAAAGTTACCAAAACGCCACGATTTTCCACTATGAATGATTGACATCACAGTAAGAAAAAATGCAGGAACGTTGCCCTATATCTTTTTCATGTAAAACCCACTACGTGCCGACAGCATCAACAACTCTTTCGTTAGAAACTCAACATCGTGCTCAGTTGTTCAAAGCGACTGCAAAGATTTGCGTGTTTATTTGACCTAAGCTGTTGTTATATCGAACCCTGTAGTTATAAAGTATGAACAATGAATAAAAAACATTTGAAACTTCCTATGCTAGCAGACTGTCATATGAGTTGGCCATGAAATGTAAAACACCGTCTAAAGACGTGAAAAGCGATTGAAAAGTTGATTGATTTGCGTGCATAATTCCACTCAGTCATTTCATATCGAACCCCGCAGTTGAATTTAGATATAGAACTGTGCAAAAGTCTAAAAAAGCAGAGTGTACCACTACCCACGCGTAGAATGATAAACAAAGTGCTTACCAAGTTGTGAAAAGCTAGTGCAAAGTTGTCATAGTGAGATGGAAATGTTATCTATGATGTTACATTATCGGAGAAGTGAATAAATATTTCGTAAAAGGCCGTTTGAATATCGTAGTGGCTCCCGAAGGATGTAGAATTTTGAAACATTCCCAAACATTAAATGGTCGCCAATTAGAATAAACTTAAAATGACTTTCATAGCTGAGTGATCAGGTCATCGATCGATATGTAAAATTAAGCTGAATCGGTCGTGGTTAGTACTTGCATGGGAGACAACCTGAGAAAATAAGCTGGTGCTTATTTTGGGGGATTCCCACACACATTGAAAAGACAATAAAGCACTTTTTGTGTAATATTTCTTACTCTAATGTCGAACAATTATTGTGGGGAGTCATGGAAATTATTAGAAATGTTTAAGTTCATAGAAAGTTTTAAACTATGCTCGTATTTTCAATTAAAAAAAAAACAGCTTTTGCAGTCTACATCTAATTGCTCTAAGCTGTTATAACAGCGTGCAAAGTTGTGCAAAGCGATTACAAAGTTGGTAGATTTGTGTGTTTCTATGACCTAAGTTGTTGTTTGAAATTTACATCAATTGTTGGTTATTTGATGTTTATCATTGTTTTAAAATTGATATCGTTTGCACAAGTAACTTCTTCAATTGACCTTTGACCTCTACATGCTTGGGAGACAGTACGATAATTTAACGGCTATTTACGAAATATTTATTCACATTTTCGAACTTTTAACTATGGGTGTCGTCAATATAATATCATAGGTCATATTCCCAAATGAATCTACCAACTTTGCAATCGCTTTGCACAACTTTGTAAGCACTTTGTCTTCCAGTTTGATGTTTGATGTTGGGATAATCTCCATATATATGCGGCATTTTCCAGTCATTTAATTCATGTTTTCGAAATTGAACTGTGGGCCGGGGTTGGCATGACAATGACTTAGGTCAAATATACAAGCACCGCTGCCAACGTTTCAATCGCTTTTCACAACTTTGCAGGCCGTTTTTCAACATTTTACAGTCACCTTATATGACAATCTGCTAATATCGGCTGCATTCATTTTTTCGACTTTACAACTGCGGGGTTTCATATGCCAACAACTTAGGGCAAACATACAAATACATCTATCAACTATGCAATCGCTTTGAACAACTTTGAACGGTGTATTATCGGCTTAAAGCCACTATGTGCCGATTGCAACAACAATTTATTTGATCATTAAGGGAATTTGGAAATATTTCTTTAATTTAAAAAAAATACAAAAATTCTCACGCCTTTCTGCTATAAATGATTGATATCACAGTAAGTGAAAAAGAATGCATGAAAGTTGCTCAATATCTTTTCCATGTCTGATGAATTCAAAAAAATCATCTGGTTTTATTCAAGGGGTTTCCCATGAAAGTACTAACCACGCTCGATTGAGCTTAACTTTAGACATCGATACATCACCTAACCACACTGCATGACTAATTTGAAATTTGCCTGTAATGGTAGCTATTTCATGTTTGTCAATCATTTAAAATTGATATTGTTTGCACAAGTAACTTCTTGAATTGACCTTTGACCTCTATATGCATGGAAGACAGTACGGTAATTTAACGGCTATTTACGAAATGTTTATTCACATTTTCGAACTTATTATAGGTAAAATTTCCAAATGAATCAACCAACTTTGCAATCGCTTTGCACAACTTTGTAGACGGAATTTTTCAGTTCGGTGTTGAGATAACCTGCATATATATGCAGCATTTTCTAGTCATTTAGTTCAATACTGTAGTGTCGTGACCTTTAACCTTATATGTATGATGTAATCTTGTAAGTTCTGCAGATAACGTGAGCCATGCAAGTCGAACATCAGAACACCACATGTAAACGATAAGGTTTGGAATAATCATAGTTTGTTATGCTGAATTTGTGTATTACTGTGATGCACAACAGCAGCAGAAATCACACAGACGTTAAACAACAGTTGCAACTACACAACCGATTGTAATCAGTCAATGCAATGTTCAGTTATAATTTCATTTTAATGTTTCAGTATGCAATGTTTGGTTTAGATGTGCTATTGCAGATGCAATCCTAACAGAGCTAATACCAATAACTATGTCCCACTTAAATAATTTGTTTTTTTCTAGCAAAAAAGAAATACAAAAAGCCTCATCCCAGAATTCATGCATGGATCAAAGATTGAGACTGGATAGAGTTTCTAATATTTATTTATTTCATTATTAAAACAGTAGTCCTAGTATTTATTTATTTAAATTCAGATAAAAACTGATAATTCACACACATACTGGTTGACTATTACGTATATACACACATGTCAATATTATACAGTTGTCAGAAAATACGTCACAACATTCAAAACATAATTGAAAAGAATTGAGCCAAAATTTATATAAGTTTTAGATTCAAAATTGTAACAATTGAAAGGCAGTGGTTGTTGTGTAGCAGGTTTGAATTTCAGGTAAATAAATTATTTAGCATGCATTGTATACAACCTCTGCATCAAAGCAAGACATATCGTGGTGACCTCTGCCCTTTAAGCTCAATTGTGCATGCATTGATTGCATCATTAGTGCGGTGTAGATTCAGGTACGTGTCCCGGATTCCATTAGTTCACCTGATACTGACAAAAGGTTAATGAGGAAATTCATAAAGAAAAGTGGTAGCAAAGAATGACAAATTACTATTTTTTTCAGCTGTCATTGATAGCAATATGTTTAATGTCTTTAATCAAGTCAGTTTCTGGTGGACTCACAGGAGCAGATGCACCCAGGTGACTTAAATCAGTTGCTGTGTTGAAAGACTCCTTAGCTTCACTGTCTTTTGCTGCCACAACATCAGCTTTCTCACTGACAGCATAATGAGCCCCTTTATCTCCTTCATTGGTTTGTTGCGTTTTTTTCAGTTTTGCCAGCATGTCATTTTTTTTCAGATAACAAGCCGTTTCGTAGGGGGGTTTGATTGGAGGCTGAGTTGGTGGATGATACTCGTAATCTTTGTCTGAATCCAGCTGTGAATGGAGAATGGAAAACAGGTTATATGTCACAATATGATTGCATTAAAGATGCAAAATGAAAAGAAACATGTAATTTAGTTTTGTGTGGTAATGTATATTGAGATGAATTAAAACTGTATGATTTATGGTTATATGTAATTTGTTCGATTAAAAAATGGAATTCTCTAATACACATATGCACTGGTTGTTTTGGTACAAACAATAACAATCACTGCACATGCAAATTAGTAGTTTTGACTATTCATCTAACGAATACAGAAAAGTATCCTGTACATGCTACATTTTTAGTTTATGAAAAATCATAATACAATTTCATGTATGTACATTTTGTATGGAGTATTAAAACCACACAATATTGATAAATATATGTTCAAGTCCATATTTCATTTTCATTTCATTTGTAAATTCATTACTCTGATATGGATATCAATACATACCTTGAGAAGGTAAGTCTTCTTAAATGCACTGAGATCACCATATACAAGGAATGGTAGTATGAGGGCATTATACCACCATAGAGGGCACTGTTTCAATAATTTTACATACCTTGAGAGGATAAGTCTTATCAGAATCAAATGCACTGAGATCACCACATGCAAGGAATGGTACAATGATACGATTTGGTCCTTCCAAAGAGTTGAAATCAACATCTAGAAACAGAAAATATTCGGTTAAAAATACTCTGTACTATGAAAATAAAAGACAGGTCTAACAGTCATGCCATTTAAGACTAAACACTTCTATGATGTAAATGAATGTATGAGAAGCCATTCACAGCTTGGTAGTGTTTTGATATGTAGATAAATGACAAACAAACACAGATGTTGATTTTGTTGACCAGTCACCAGTCTATACTATTTTTATGTGACAGAATTACTTCATTGCTAGAGAGGTTGATGTAATGGACTGGCCTGGAAGCTGTACCTTGTCAATAGTACAAACAAATCATTTCTATTCAGTGGATATTTACACCATACATTCTGTATTTTGACGATTGAAATGCATTTATGACAGTCAGTGTTTCCAGTCTCAAAAGCCGTAATAAAAGTCACTGTACATGGTTCCCTGTCTTAAGAACAGCAGCATGCCTGACTGAACCGTGATAGTGGATACTGGATTTGTTAATACTTACCATAATGACCTACTCTAGCAGGCCTGACTGAACCGTGATAGTGGATACTGGATTTGTTAATACTTACCATATGGCCTACTCTAGCAGGCCTGACT